CTCTCTCTCTCTCTGTCTCTCTCTCGAGCGGGTACATCGAGTGGGCACCCTCACAAGGAACGCTGCGCCTCGTGATATTGTGGTGAGGTTCACTCGTTACTCGGATCGGGATGCTGTCTTCCAGGACAGGCGAAAACTGGCAAACACGAGGACCGGTGTTTACATCAACGAGGACCTGTGTCGTAATTCACTGGAGATGAGAAAAGCCCAGATGCCAGCCTTACGAGCTGCCAAGAGAAACGGGAAAGTAGCATACTTCAATTATCGCAAGTTGGTAGTAAAGGAGAGGCAGAGATCAGTGCGTCCTCGAGAACCCAGTAGACAAACAGCGCCATTGGTTCCTCCCGCTCCCTCATCGCCGCCCGCATCACCATTCATGCAAAGAGCTCCTCATTTCCCGTCTGATTCTGCATAGGGTCAACAGGAGCCTCGAACACCCACGGGCCCACCGCCCGTGCACACAGCCACACAAATCCTCGAGTGTGACACTAGTGTCCCCTCACCAGGTTTCGCTGACGGAAATGCTAAGTCTACCTATATCTCCAGAGATGCCTCCTCTGCCACGCTTAGTTCCTCCAGTGTCACAGACGTCGACGCCCCCACCACTTTAACAGAAACCTCTGGTGCTTTCCTGGCTGGAGCCAGAGATGTTGGTGGCATATCCACCAGTTTTTCTACCGCCAGTACCTCGGTTTCTGTTTCCTCCAATGCAAAGGATACCAATGACTCTGCTGCCACGGATGCTGATGCCCCTGGTGCCACACATGATGCCGCTGCCTCCATTGCCACGTATTCTTCTTCCAGTACCATTGCTGCCGGAACTGTTGGTGCCACGACTGGCGGTCTCCCGCCACGTTCTTCGCACACCACGTCAAACCAGCAAACCCACAAACTAGGTACGGCACACGACAGAAACGCTGGAATGGCTCTGAGATCGAAGCCCACCGGAACCAGGAAAAAACAGCTGTGAGTGAAAAAGTAGATAATATCGACGTGATATTTATGTAAATATTTCCATTATCGTTCTGTTGGACAATCTACCCTTTTATAACATTAACGACAATGATTTAATCTGTCTTCTATCAGATTCACCAAACCCTGTAATCTCATTAGACATTTTAGAAACTCTGAAATATAATAACTTTACATCTGATAACGATTTTCAAATGATGATCCTGACTTATTTATAGAAAATTCGCTTGGGATGACCGATCCATTATACAACTATGTATTCCCTGGTACAGCTAATTGTAACTCTCACATCCACAGTAATGCTAAAGAGCATCAAGTCAGCATCTTCCGGGGCAGATCTTATGTTATATAAGATCTGCCCCGGAACATCTCGAGACATTACTAGCGGAATACATAATTCATAATGGTGAAGCCTTTGACATTATTGGATTGTGTGAAACCAGACTAAGTAATGATATTCAACATTTATTTGAAATACCACAATATAATGCTTATTTTGATAACCGGTCTAGGAAAAGCAGTGGTGTGTCTCTGTATATACATGAGAGATTCGACTCCGTTCTCAGAACTGATCTCACTTACAGTGTAGATGCCATCGAATCGGTATTTGCTGAAATTAAAACACCAACAAAAATGTTCTTGTTGGGGAGATTTATAGAAGGCCAAAAAGTAATATTCATAGTTTCATGGAAAAATTAAGTGATATCCTCACAACTGCATGTTCTGAAAACAAACTATGCATACTGGCTGGAGACTTTAACTTGGATCTTTTAAAAACTTGTTCGACAACCATGCAAGAATTTGTTGGTCTCCTCAATAGCAAATTGTTTTTTTTTGTTTTTGTTTTTTTGTCACAACGAAGCCAACTAGAGTAACTGCTACATCGGCCACCATTCTCGATCATATCTGGACAAATGAAATCAACAGATCCAAAAGTAACGGTAAAATTTACTCTGACATAACAGACTATTTTCCCATCTCGTACATTAGCCTTAACAACAACCTAAAATCGAGTGAGACGAAAGTTATTGAATATAGGGAGTTCAGTCCAGCAAATATTGACAAACTCAGAGAGCAGTTATTCCAAGTATCATGGGAGCTTGTATATTCAGCATTAAATCCTGAAGTTGCATATGAAAACTTTGAAACTATTATAAGTGCAAGCTTCAATAAGTTTCTCCCTTTAAAATCAAAGATTATAAAAAACAAACACATCAACAAACCTTATATCACCAGAGAACTAAAAAACTTAATCAATTATAAAAATAAAGTACAGAGGAAATATGCCAAATGGCCTTTGACCTACGGAGAGGAATATAAAAGGTTCCGTAATTTAGTTACTCGCAGGTTAAGGGAAGCCAAAGCTACATATTTTTCAGAAAAATTGGAAGAAAATGCAAGCAGTAGTAAATCTCAATGGAAGGTTATTAATACAATTTTGAACAGAGGAAAGCAATCGCAAAAAAACACACTAAAAGTCAACAACGTTGAAGTTACCGACACAACAGAAGTAGATAACCACTTCAAC